TGACGTAAGCTTCACCGGAGAAGAGGAAGAAGACAGTTGCAGAAGCTTGAAAGCTTGGAACAATGACCGATTTAAGCAAAAGAGCTAGAAAGAGAAAAAGCTAGAGGATTGAATGAAAAAAGAGAAAAATAGTCAAGAAGACGACAAAATTCAAGAATAAGCCAAGTGCACAGGCACTAAGTAAGTATGTGAAGAACAAGAAAGTAATGACCCAGACACGATGCTAGCAAACAGAAAGGGATATGACAAGAACAGTGCTAGGCATTCAAACAATTCAAAACTTGAAGACAGACGAAAATAAAAGGCAACAGATGGCAAGTAAACAGATTCAGAAGAGTTATGAAAGATTGAGCTTAATAGCAAGTAAAGAGTTTATGAACCTACAAGTGAAATGAATGCTGATTTGAAAATCGCCGAAGTCAAATAGATGACTGGAAATCGGGAACTCACTAGAGAGTGTGAGTGGAGCAGTTGCAAAGCTCTTGGAGTTTACGAATTAATGGAACCAGAACCTCGCTGGAGGTGCGATTTCAAGCAGCTTGAAAGCATGAAACTTGATTCTTGACACCAGTGGACAGTAAAACTTTGAGGTCGACGAGTTTGATCTCGGACAGAGGGCCACAGATGAACGAACAGTGTAGGTTCCATCACTCAGTCGGTTTAACCAACTTGTAAATTGTTACAAATTTCAACAAGTGGTAAACATATTCTTCTTTTCTCTGCCCCCTGCATGGCTTCCACATACTCCTTTGCGAACCTTATAAAAGGTCTTCAACCTGGCTAACTGCAGTCCAACCTTGTGTGTTTTCTTTTTTATCTTCTGGGATCTGACATTTGCTTACTGAGCTCTTCTCTTTTCGGACTTAAGTGCCGAGATCTTTTCAAGTTTTGAATTGTTTGAATACCTGGTACTGTTCTTGTCATATCTGCTTTCTGTTGCTAGCATCGTGTCTGGGTCATTACTTTCTTGTTCTTCACATACTTACTTAGTGCCTGTGCACTTGGCTTTATTCTTGAATTTTGTCGTCTTCTTGACTATTTTTCTCTTTTTTCATTCAATCCTCTAGCTTTTTCTCTTTCTAGCTCTTTTGCTTAAATCGGTCATTGTTCCAAGCTTTCAAGCTTCTGCAACTGTCTTCGTTCCTCTTCTCCGGTGAAGCTTACGTCATTCTGTCATTGTTGTCAGACTTCGGCAATTCTCATTCCGGCTTCCCTTTTTCTGGTAAGCCACTGTTCCTTCTGGTTTTATTTCTTGTTGCTTTCCAAGAAGCTCTGCTTCATTGTTAATCACCATTGCTGTTTTACCTGTTGTTTCCAAATCATCTTCTTGAATACACACTGTTCACACATCTGTTGATTTCTGCCACTGTTCTTGGCTTGACACACTTGTACAATCTTTTTGTCTTGATTTCCTGATAGCTTCATCACCATTCTTGATTACGAATTACATTCTTGTTTCTGTTTTTTGTGTCTTTTTCCAGATTCTTGCTTTTAATCCTTACCTTCAAACTCCGAGGTGCCAATCGCCGAGAAGAGCCTTGATCAAACTCTTCGGGAGATCGATGCTGAGCTCGAGGCTGAGAAGGCTACTAAGAAGTCTTCCCAACTGTCTTCTATATCTTGCCATTGATGCCGAGTAGTTTTGTTTCCTTTTTGTACCTTGTACCTTGTACTTTGTCCGTCTCTGTATGCTTTTAATCCGGCCGACGTGCCATTTTTGCAGTCTAAATAATTTATTTTTCAATATTCAAGCCGAAGTGCCTTCTTTCTTCTTTAAATGCATTTCTCTGATTTCTTCTTTGAATGTATGTCTTCTTTTTTCTGCTCTTGTATGATTCTATACTTAGAATAATTTGCATGTCTTCAAAGTACACCTTGACTATGCAATCTCTTCGGGTAAAATACCTCTGTCACAACTTCTAATCTTGCTCATCTCGGCCTTGTCCTAACACTTGAAAATATTGTAACAAATATTTTCACAAGTGTTGCTCAGGACTTGTCACTTTCTCAATGTCTTCTATCAAGACTTCAGTTTTCCATATTTTAAGTTTTGACAACCTGGTAGGCAGAACACCTTCTGTTAGCTTTGGCGAACTGACAATGACAGCACTCTCTCACACAGGAAGAAAATTATATGTAAATTGCTACAAATTTTAACAAGTGTTATCTTGTAAATTGCTACAAATTTCAACAAGCGTTAAGCATTACTTCGGTTTAACTTCAACTTATAAATTGTTACAAATTTCAACAAGTGAAGATAATAATCTCAGCTTAACTTCAACTTGTAAGTTGCTACAAATTTCAACAAGCGTTAAGCATTACTTCGGTTTAACTTCAACTTATAAATTGTTACAAATTTCAACAAGTGAAGATAATAATCTCAGCTTAACTTCAACTTGTAAGTTGCTACAAATTTCAACAAGCGTTAAGCATTACTTCGGTTTAACTTCAACTTATAAATTGTTACAAATTTCAACAAGTGAAGATAATAATCTCAGCTTAACTTCAACTTGTAAGTTGCTACAAATTTCAACAAGCGTTAAGCATTACTTCGGTTTAACTTCAACTTATAAATTGTTACAAATTTCAACAAGTGAAGATAATAATCTCAGCTTAACTTCAACTTGTAAGTTGCTACAAATTTCAACAAGCGTTAAGCATTACTTCGGTTTAACTTCAACTTATAAATTGTTACAAATTTCAACAAGTGAAGATAATAATCTCAGCTTAACTTCAACTTGTAAGTTGCTACAAATTTCAACAAGCGTTAAGCATTACTTCGGTTTAACTTCAACTTATAAATTGTTACAAATTTCAACAAGTGAAGATAATAATCTCAGCTTAACTTCAACTTGTAAGTTGCTACAAATTTCAACAAGCGTTAAGCATTACTTCGGTTTAACTTCAACTTATAAATTGTTACAAATTTCAACAAGTGAAGATAATAATCTCAGCTTAACTTCAACTTGTAAGTTGCTACAAATTTCAACAAGCGTTAAGCATTACTTCGGTTTAACTTCAACTTATAAATTGTTACAAATTTCAACAAGTGAAGATAATAATCTCAGCTTAACTTCAACTTGTAAGTTGCTACAAATTTCAACAAGCGTTAAGCATTACTTCGGTTTAACTTCAACTTATAAATTGTTACAAATTTCAACAAGTGAAGATAATAATCTCAGCTTAACTTCAACTTGTAAATTGCTACAAATTTCAACAAGCGTTAAGCATTACTTCGGTTTAACTTCAACTTATAAATTGTTACAAATTTCAACAAGTGAAGATAATAATCTCAGCTTAACTTCAACTTGTAAGTTGCTACAAATTTCAACAAGCGTTAAGCATTACTTCGGTTTAACTTCAACTTATAAATTGTTACAAATTTCAACAAGTGAAGATAATAATCTCAGCTTAACTTCAACTTGTAAGTTGCTACAAATTTCAACAAGCGTTAAGCATTACTTCGGTTTAACTTCAACTTGTAAATTGCTACAAATTTCAACAAGTGAAGATAAACAATAATCTCGGCTTAACTTTAACTTGTAAATTACTACAAATTTCAACAAATGGTAAACATATTTTTCTTCTCTCTGCCCCCTACATGGCTTCCACATACTCCTTTGCGAACCTTATAAAAGGTCTTCAACTTGGCTAACTGCAGTCCAACATTGTGTGTTTTCTTTTTTATCTTCTGGGATTTGAGATTTGCTCACTGAGCTCTTCTCTTTTCGAACCTGAGTGCCGAGATCTTGTTCTGCTAGAATCTTGGATCTGCTCACTCAGGTTAAGCTCTTCTCTTCTTGGACCTACTTATCTAGGCTGAGATCATGTCTTCTAGGATCCGTGATCTGGAACCCGAGATCTGCTCACTTAGGTTGAGCTCTCGTCTTCTCGGGCCTACTTGTCTAGGCTGAGATCATGTCTTCTCGGATTCGGGATCCAGGATCTGGAATCCGAGATCTGCTCACTCAAGATGAGTTCTTCTATACTTGAATGTTATCTCCTTGGGAGCGCTCATGCCCCCTGTCTTTGCATCCATTCTAGAAGGGTCTTCATTCCTCCGCAAGTATCTATCCTTCCATACCTGGAGGTCATCTTCGTTGTAGTATCCGCTTTGATCTGTTGTCTTTGGTGCGTCATCTTTCTGGCCGGCGTCTTTCACTCCATGACTCTGGTTACGAGTTTATGTGTTGCTGTTGTCCCCTTCAACGTCGAGGTTGATAAATCTCCCATTCCCAGCAGGAGCGTTGTCTCCAGTCTGATCCTTCTGTCTGTCATTGGCCATCTATCCTTCTTTCTTTTATTGGCCATCTATTATTCTTTCTTTTATTGGCCATCTATTCTTCTTTCTTTCCCACAGACGGCGCCAAATTGTGTGAGTGATTTTCTGACCACACTACCCGCTTAGTAACCAGCTGGAGAGCACCGGCAGAATAGATGGCACCTGGCTGACCTGCAACAGAAAGAGAAGATTCCGGCAGTTCGTCCACCCGGGGGCACTCCGACGATCAAGTCAGTATATCTCTCAAAGATAAATCAAGTGCTAAACTCACAAGCTTGAGTATCAAAAGCATACCTTAGACCCATGGGGGTGCCTCTCTTTTGTAGCCAACATAAACCTAGTCCTAATAGAAGCCTAACTTCTATGGACTCAGGATTACTGCTAATCTTGGACTCCCAGTAAGATTAGGATAAACTCTCTAAGAGTCTTATCTTAATACAAACTGAAGTCTTCTCTCATTCTAGGACTCTTGTCCTTCATCCAGGTTGAGTTCCCTTTTCATTTTAGGACTCTTGTCCTTTGTCCACTTATCTCGGATTCTGATATCTTCGAAGATAATCTCGGCCTTGCCGAGATCACCTCGGCGTCACGACCAGGACACGTGGCACCTCGGCTGACACGTCGGCGTCACCTTGCCACGTGTTGGTACTCAGAAAATATATCCCCACAATCAACAATATCACACACTCAAAAAATTTAATTAACAAAATATAAAATATTTAAAATTTATAAATCATGTTCACGATGTAGCAAACTTTCTTAACAAAGTAATTTCTTAATCATGTTTCATATTCCTGCCAAATAAGCAAATACAATCAATCATCAACCTGCTTTTATTAATCATCACTAAGATGAAATCAAGCACTAATGAGATTAGGATCGCACTAATTCAGCTACGAATTCATCGATGTTCTTGTCTGAACTCCCACCATCACCAAGCGCCTCTTTCGCCAATTTTTTCCATTTCATTGCATTCATCTTAACTTCATTTTTCTTTTTTCCTTCAAACACCTCCTTCATGCAAGCCTCCAACACTTCCCTCCTGACAATACCCTTATCATCCATCTTAGCCCTAATTCCTATGCCCCAAACATCCTCCACAAACTTAGCATTCGTAGCTTGGTCCGACCAATATGGAACACCAACCATTGGCACACCCAAGCTCAGTGCCTCAAGAACAGAGTTGAACCCACAATGCGTGACAAAGCAACCTATTGACTCGTGTGCCAACACCTCTAGCTGTGGACTCCATGTCACCACCAAGCCCTTCTCGGCTGTGTCATTGATGAAGTTGTTTGGTAGCTTGGCTTCTTCGGTTGCCCTCACGACCCACAAGAAGTTGTAATTGCTTTGGTTTAAGCCCCATGCTATTTCTTCCATTTGTTCGGGTTCAAATTGGGCCATGCTGCCAAAGGATACGTAAACGACAGAGCCGCTTGGCTTGGCATTTAGCCAGTTCATGCACACAGTGGAGTGAGGCTTGAAGAGATTGATGCCATAATCTATGTCATCTTTGAGTTTCTGATCTAAGTACATGGATGGAAGTGTTGGGCCTATTGTTCTCACCCGCCATAGTTTTGACATCCAATCTACCACCTAATATAAGACATTTTAATCAAAACCACAATGATATGTTACAAAATAAAGATTCATATTAAAATCTAACCAAAAAAAAATATTATGTACTGAGAAAAAAAAATATACTTAAAAATATGTTCAAAATTTAAATATTTAATCTTTAGTACAGATTTTAGACTTGGTGTGATGTGACTAACACCAAAATAAATTTTACAATCCTACATATTCACACGCACACACAACAAGTTTTAAAAAAAAAAATTAAAATAAATGATTCAAATTCAATCATCACAAGGTTGTTTGCATTAGTTAGTTTGACTAGCCTATGTGGAAAAATCATCTACAGAACCACCATTGAGTTGAGAAATTTTCAACTTGCCCATCATCAAAATTGTGGGTTGGTTAAATATTTTGGCGGTTTCAAAAGGATGGTTTGAGCAAGTTAGGTGGGTTATAAATACAAAATCAAAGCACATAAAAAATCTTAATTTTTTCATAATATCAATAAAAAATTTATTTTTTATTCCAAACCCCAATACAAAACCCACAAAATAATCGAACCATGCTATTTATTCAAAATCATATTTCACGAATCAAAATACAAAACAATCAAATTTGAAGAGAAATATGCAATAAAAATAAGAGATGTATGTTATCCAATTAATGATATTAGATTTAGTGAGACATTTTTTGCGAGCAAATGCAAGATAATTTTACATATATATAGACGGTTTTGGTCAATTCATCGGCAGGTTTATAAACTTTAAAAGTAAACAAACGAATCGGCTAATTTTTATTATCTAACCTTCTCATCTTCTTGAACCACACGGATTGATATGAATTGATCAGTTGATTTGGGTGATGGCAGGTTGGTGGGTTTTTGCACACCCTTTAACACCATATTCAAATTCTATGTATTTTTTTTTTTTAGTACTTATCATATGTGAAATGTTTTCAAAATAAAATTCTAGACAATTTAATGCTGTGTTTGGTTGGGGGATTTGGAAAGTGATTTGGAAAGAGAAAGGGAAAAAGTATGTGAAATTAGGTGAAATGTAAGTATATTTTATTCACATTTCACCTAACTTTTCCCTTTTCCTTTCCAAATCCCTTCTCAAATCCTCCAACCAAACACAGCGTAAGGGGTCTTTTTTTTTTTTTTTTTTGAAATATTAATTACACCAAGTAAAAAATTGATATGCATACCTCTTTCTCCAATTCGTAGAAAGTATTAAAAAGGACCCAATCTGCTTTATCAACGTTACTGAATTGATTCACCAACAAGTCATAGAAACTTGGATGCAACCCATAAGCATACACAAACGATGGCGTTTCACAGGACTCAAGTGGTGGCAATCCAGGCAACAAAATAGTTGAATCTGGTGAAAGTGGGAGTGAAAGAAGACCCTCGTGCACATGATAATATATGCTATTGACAGCACAAGTCTGAGTGAAAAACACAACTCCAAGTATTCCTAACTCCTTGGCAACATCAAGAGCCCAAGGCAAAAACCCATCATAAATTAGGGCATCGACTGGTCGGCCAAGCCCATTGAGTTTCTCGATGAGACTGGCCAGAGTCCGCGATCCAACGTCGCGTAATTTGGTCAGATAGGCTTCGGGATTTTCGGCGTTGTCGTAGCCGCCATCGTCGTGTCCGTCGGAAAACGTGTCAGTGTCGATGGTGCTGATTTGGTCCTTGTGCATGGACTTGGAGATATAAACACTGTTGGCAAGAGTGGCCTTGACACCTCTAGCTACCAAGCGCTTGGAGAATTGAAGCATTGGGTTGATGTGCCCTTGGGCAGGGTAGGGTAGGACTAGAACATGGGCTTTGTAGGCTCTGTTTGGTGTCTCCATTAATTTCTCTCTACACAAACTCTCGGTGACTTACTCCAGTCTCAATTTTTTTTTTTGATTTTTGGTTTTTTGGCCTTGGAGAGAGGCACTAGTGCAAGCATTAATACTGATTTCCATGGAGAAACTACACTTTCTTTGTGAAGTTAATCAGCAATGACATGTTTCTTTGCTTTGGTAAGCAAAGTTGGCTTTATTGTTATAAAAAAATGAACTTAACAATGATGTTTCAGTACAAGACAGGGGAAGCTAGCCAAAGCAAAACAGGTTAGATAGGAGAGGAGATAAAACCTACCTTAAAATTCAAATTTTAAATACATACGTAGGGGATTGGGCGACTATGTCAAAGTAATTAATATTTTTTAAGAATATTATTATTCAAGACAAAAAAATTATATTTAATTTTTAAATTCAGTGATATAACAATCAATTACAATATTAAATGTAACACTCTCTCTTACGTCTTCTCTAATTATCAACAAATTATATCATTTACATATTATTAAGTTTAGAAAATAAATCTAGAAATGAGTTTATATATCATTTTTTATTTTTTAAAATATCCCTACTAATTTGATTTTGTCCAAAATTTTTAAAGTAATTATATAATAGTCTAAAAATATCATGACATATTATTATTCCCATCTTTATTAACACTATAAGAATTTTCACTTTTGGCGGCTAAATTTTTAGTCGCCGAAGGGCTTTAGTGACTAAATTTTTTGGTTATAAAATTAGTAACCGAAGAGTAGTCGGGAAAGCTAATTTTAGTCGCCAAATGTATTCATTTGCCGACTAAATATTTAGTCGCCAAAAGGTTGAACATTAAATTAAATTAGACCCTTTCGGCGACCAAACTTTTAGTCGCCTAAAGTCCCACCTTTTTAGTTACTAAAATTTTAGTCGGCAAATAGTTATTTTTTGGCTACTAAAAATTGAGTTGCCGAAAGTCCTCATCTTTGGCTACTAAATGTTTAGTCGGCAAAGAGTTCCTTTTTTAGCTACTAAATATTTAGTCGCCTAAAGTTCTACATTTTTGGCTACTAAAATTTTTGTCGGCAAAAGTATGTTTATAATTTAGCTTTTTGTTTTTAGCTACGAAATATTTTAGTCACCAAATGTTTAATTTTCTTTTGGCTACTAAAGTTTTAGTCGCCAAATGTCTTTTTTTTTTGTACAAAACTTTTAATCGTCAAATGTCTTTTCTCAATTTCTTTTTAGTTACTAATTGTTTAGTCGATAAAAACATGATATTATGTTTTATCGCGAAATTATAATTTCTCCACAACCTGTCTACATACAATGCAACATGTAATACGTATAAAAACAAAATGACACATACTATCAATCATTCCACAATCTGCATCCATATACCAAAAATAAATAACATTAAATATCAAAGTCCATACAAATCAACTATTGTCTAAACTAAAATTATAATTCCATACAAAATATATCATACAAAAATCAAAGCCCTCCGTATACAAAAAATACATTTACTACCAAGCGAAATTACCATTTGGCATGGCACAAATTACCATCGTAATATGTACCACAACAAAAGGTGATATATGTACCACGACAAAAGTTATCTATGGACCATGACAAAATGTCCTATATGTATGCCGACAAATGGTATCTATGTACCACGACAAAAGGTGATCTATGTACTACGACAGTCATTATCTATTCATTACCCAAAGTTTTCTGTATCATTAATAATGAACTACACAAAAGCTGAGGACGACAAAAGTATTATATTAGTTCTACACAAAAGTGAAAATTCTTCTCCATACACCAATATAGATTATTCACAAGTCCACGCAACAAAGCCATCTACAAAGAAAAACAAAAAACGAAATATTAGAATTGGTTACAAAATATCAATCCAGTCAACTATATGAAACATATTCTAACATATATTTAAAATAGAGTAATTAAGAAATGTCTTCTTGAAACATGTTGTAGTGTTTGGTTGTGCATCATTTAATTCTTATTTTTACTTTGGATTAGGTAGTTGTTATAGACTTCAGAAAGTGATGTTTCCACAAATTTTTATTCTTAATAATTTATATGTTGTCTAGTTTCCATTTTGGTTGTTAGTCAGAATCTACCACCATGTCTGCTGGTCACCACTAGAAAAACTACGTTCCTAGTACTGACTCTCCCTCGTGTCCACACACACTGTTCTCACATTTTTTTTTTATTACTTAACAAAAAATAAAACTCAAAAATACTTATCTTGTTTAATAATATTATTTTTAATTTATTGCTAACATATATTTAAAATAGAACAATTAAGAAATGTCTTCTTGAAACATGTTGTAGTGTTTGGTGGTGCATCATTTAATTCTTATTTTTACTTTGGATTAGGTAGTTGTTATAGACTTCAGAATGTGATGTTTCCACAAATTTTTATTCTTAATAATTTATATGTTGTCTAGTTTCCATTTTGGTTGTTAGTCAGAATCTACCACCATGTCTGCTGGTCACCACTAGAAAAACTACGTTCCTAGTACTGACTCTCCCTCGTGTCCACACACACTGTTCTCACATTTTTTTTTTATTACTTAACAAAAAATAAAAGTCAAAAATACTTATCTTGTTTAATAATATTATTTTTAATTTATTGATCCACATATAAGTTGTAATTGTGTATGTTTATTGATAAATTAAATAAAATTATACATATTCAGTAATAAAGTAATAAATTAATCACTGATAAAGCTTATCATATTGATTTGTAAAAAATTACAAATAAAGGATTTGGTTCACTCACTCACATACTCTATTACTCATAAAAACCCCTCATTCCCACGTACACACATTCGTTTGGAATAAATTTTTTTAATTTGATTTTTTAGCTATTTTAACATGATTAAAAAAATTCAATTTATAATCAATTTTGACTTTTTTTTTTATAGTTGATTTTATGGTTGTGAAAAAAAAAAGTAAAATGATTATGATTTATTTGCGATATTTTATCTTATTGACTAAATTAACCTATTTTGTTTTTATTAGCTAATTTAGCCAATTTAGCTTTTGCCAAACAAAACCAGTAAAATAATCTTATTTATCATTGATAAATTTATCATTTTATTTCATAAATAAAAAAAATTTATTTTAAAGATCTAAAAATTATTTTTAAAATGTTATGTTGAAATAAGCCTATTCTTAAACAAGGAAGAAAAAATAACATTATTGATTCCAATAAAATTCACTCACTATCTCACTGTGAAGATGTAATAGTACATAGTGCCTGTTTGGCAGAACTTAAAAGCAGCTTATTTCAGCTTTCAACTTAATTTAAGCTATTTTGATGTGTTTGGTTTAGCTTATAGCTTATAGCTTATAGCTTTTTGGAAGTCAGAAATCAGCTTATTCTTTAAGTGGGGCAGGAGATGCTTAATTTATAAGTCAGAAATCAGCTTATGTTCATAGTTATAAACTATAAGCTGTTTAGGCATAAGCTATAAGCACTTTCCCACAGCTCTACCAAACAGGGCCATACATATATACACAGACACGAACAGCCACCTCACATTTGGTTTAGAAACTACTTATTTTGTTGAAGCTTGAGTCTGTATGTTTCCTACAACTTTTAGGATTTTGTTAGTGTTGGAACAAATCTTTCATTTTGTTCCAAGCTATAGAGAATGAAGGTGCAAAAATAATAAATTCCACCACTTCTAGAAAAATCAAACATAAAAATTAATGGTTTCACCAATTGATTGCCTTAATGTATTAGATTTCTTAGCAAAATCTGCAATTTTCAATCGAAGATCTATAGATACACAGATATACTTATATACATATACATATATATATAGAGAGAGAGAAAGCATACGTGAGATGGAGGATCGATGGAGCAGAGTTCTTCTCAGTGATGAAGCCTCTGGATCTCGCAGCGGTGGCGGTGGATCTGCGAAGATCGGCGGAGGAGGAGGAAGCGGCAACGTGAAATGTTTTAGACAGGGATGGGGTGTGGATTTGCAATTCGTGTGGCTCACTCACAAATCTGTGTGAATCGCATGAACTTGTTTTGGTTGCTTGCTTTGGTTCTTATACTTGAGAATTGTCGTGGGAAATTAACTTGTCAATGTGGATGTATGTATGTGTAGATGTGAACACAGAAGATCGTAGAAGCAGATAGATTCAAAGATGTTATTCTTGGATCAATCTTCTGTGTAAATAAAATAACTTGAAATAAAATCAAACAAAATAAATAAATAACATACCAGATTTATTTATTGAATCGAATTAAAAATTAAGACCAAGTCGAGTGTGTGACACTCTGTCCTTAAGACAGATTCGCCCCGCTATGGTGCTTACGGTTGAGTGGTATCTATCTCCCAGGATACAATGATCTTCACAAATTGTAGTAGCACTTCAAACAATTTGTTCGGCGAACCAAACCTGTGATCTATACTCTCTTTAAATTACCCTAAAATAATATGAAGAATAAAAGACGCAATAGAGCAAAATGAAGGCAAGGAAATGAATTTTCGGAATCAATCAAAATTGGAATGGGGCTGCCTTTATATAGGCTTTGTTGGCACCTATTCAATTTGAATAGAAAAGGTATGAAGAATGGACACACCCCTTCCTTTAAAATAAAGAGACACCATGAAAGGTTTGCACCATTTCATTCAAATGGAGTCTATTTCAATTCACAACTACCTGTTTATAAATTTTCCAACAATCCCCCACATGAATGAAATTGACTAAGAGAAAATGCAACAACATGATGTGAATACAGAGAGTACAGAAATTGGAAATATTCTGCAAAGGATAGGTAGCTTTTGGCTTTGAACCTTCCCTTGTGAGATACTATCGGATTTACTAGCTAACCAGTGAACATGATGTCTTGAACTGTTCAGCCGTTTATGTAAACCAAGACAATAGAACTCACACAGTATATCTCTAGACACAGTTTAATTCTTACTATTGTGTTCATTTTGGCTCTAAACAACCTGGTCTTTCATGAGTACTCTAAAGACTTGTAGCCCTTCACAAATTTTATAGAACCGACCCAGTTCACACTCGCATAGGTGATTCTTATGAAAAGTATCCTGCCATACTCCACTAGGTTTACCTAGATATAGGAATCATTAAAAGTATTACTTAACCTAAACCGCTGTAGACATCACTATTTCATCAAAGAAATGGGTAGGAAATAAACTCCCCAGTGATCCTTCTGAGTCATTCACAACTCGGTTGTCCCTTTGAACCTAGATCTTGGGATCTCCAGTCAACTAGGTTGGGTTGCCGTTGTGGTAACTCTTATTTAATAGGCTTTAGTCTCATTCCCCTCGATGAATTCTCAACTAACTCTTTTGCTAACCCTTTGGTTAGTGGATCCACTATGTTGTCTTTAGACTTAACATATTCTATGGACATAATTCCATTAGAGAGTAGTTGTCTTACGGTATTATGTCGACGACGAATGTGTCGAGACTTACCGTTATACATATGACTCTGTGCTCTACCAATTACTGATTGACTATCACAATGTATGCATATAGCAGGCACCGGTTTTGGCCATATTGGAATATCTTCAAGGAAGTGGCGAAGCCATTCTATCTCTTCCCCTGCTTTGTCTAAAGCTATGAATTCAAATTCCATGGTAGTCCTAGCAATATAAGTCTGTTTGGAAGATTTCCAAGATACAGCCGTCCCACCAAGAGTAAAGACATATCCACTAGTGGACTTTGAGTCTCTTGTATCCGATATCCAATTTGCATCACAGTATCCTTCAAGTACTGCTGGATATCTAGTATAATTAAGCCCAATGTTACGAGTAAATCGGAGATATCTAAGAACCCTTATAATTGCTTTCCAGTGTTCTACTCCCAGATTACTCGTATATCTACTTAATTTACTTACTGCATAAGCTATATCTGGGCGAGTGCAGTTCATCAAGTACATTAAGCTTCCAATAATTTGGGCATACTCTAATTGAGAAATACTTTCCTGTATATTCTTAGAAAGATACAAATTAATATCTACAGGTGTTCTTACAAGATGATCATCATCTTTGCTGTATTTGTCAAGTATTTTCTCAATGTAATGAGATTGTGACAAAGCATATCCTTCTGATGTTTTGGTAATTTTCATACAAAGTATTACATCAGCAATGTCCATGTCCTTCATGTCAAAATGTTTATTCAACATTTTCTTGGTAGTTTTAATCATGTCATTATTACTACCAATGATGAGCATATCATCTACATAAAGACATACAATGACATAACCTTTATCTGTGTTTTTAATATAAACACACTTGTCACACTCATTAATTTTAAATCCATTTGACATCATTGCCTTGTCAAATTTCTCATGCCATTGCTTTGGCGCTTGTTTTAAACCATATAATGATTTAACCAATTTACACACTTTCTTTTCTTTTCCTGATGTGCCATTTTTCTTCGAGGTTGTCTTTTTTTCTTTCATCCATTTATGCCTTTATGCAAGTTTTTGTTAAAAAAAAAGGTTCAGGGCTTTAAATATCGTCCGTTACGTATCATATTGGCCGTTACATGAATGGTTTTTGGCCTTCTGATACCATTATTCATTGATATATCGGCAGATACTGTCTGTTACTCTCTGATATCGGCCGATATATGACTGCGTCACCAATGCTGTTACATATCCCCATACCGTTATTTAAAACCATGCCTTTGTTACAGTATGTTCCTATAAGGCTTGTCCACTGATTACATGTGCCAATGGGTTAGTGTCTTTCTTTTTGGTTGACTTCTGACCAAGTACACATCCCATATTGGACAAGTTATTTACTTCATTTTTGTTTGATCTACTGACCCAAATCTCATTCTTTCTTCTAGTGTTTGGGACTATTACTGTATTGGGTTGTAATAGTTAAATAAATTTTAGTTCTTTTATGCCACCACTTGATTCTTAAAACTCGGTTTTCTAACATTTTATAGGACCATGATTCAGAACATGATTAAGGAAGGAAAAATTGTACCTTCAGAGGTAACAATTAAGCTTCTTCAACGAGCAATGCAGGAAAATGCTAATGACAAATTTCTGATTGATGGCTTTCCTCGTAATGAGGAAAACCGTGCCGCATTTGAGTCTGTTGTAAGTCCCTAGTACAACATCTTATTCAAAATAGTTGCAAATTCAAACTTATGGACTGGGATAGCCAGCTAAGAATAGCCCGTCCATTGTTACTTGCATCATTCAAAATTCTACTCCAGAATATGTTGTGCTAATTGCCATACTCTGATTTTATGCAGACCGGAATTGTGCCAGAATTTGTACTCTTTTTTGATTGCTCAGAAGAAGAGATGGAGAAGCGCCTTTTGGGTCGGAACCAGGTTAGACAAATATAATTGATTCTTGCCTGAAGGTTTCTTATGTTATTTCTGTTTCTTTTACCATTTTGGTTTTAATCTTCTTTCCTGGAAAATTGAAGGGAAGAGAAGATGATAACATCGCTACAATAAGGAAGCGGTTTAATGTTTACATGGAATCTAGTCTCCCCGTGATTCAGTATTATGACTCTAAGGGGAAGGTCAGAAAGGTAATATTTTTTTAAAAAAAATAATAAATTACCATTAATGATTTTTTTGTGCTCCTTTCTGACAGTGCTATTGCCTTTTATTGAAATCACTGATTTTGCTTCCATTCTCAGATTGATGCAGTAAAGCCTGTTGAAGAGGTTTTTGAAGCTGTGAAAGCAGTTTTCACCCCATCGCATGAGAAGGTAAAGCACCATTGTAACATTCCATGGAGTTTTAATCAGTTTAGAGCCTGTTGGTTTCTATGGAGAATAAAATCTGGGCAAGGGGTGCCTCAATGATATAGGATAAGGGGTTTATTTTCCTGATAATAGATAGCTACATATGCTTCTATAAATTAATTTTGGAGTTAAATGCTTAATGTTGTGTATTCTGCAACGGAGTATTAGTAAAATGTTTTTGCATATTTTAGAACTAGTCTTATATTATCGATCCTGCTTTGGCATTGTCGTTATGGGCTTATAACAAGAAACATGCTTTAGTCAGTGTCCTCCACCACTGTTAACATGGTGAAAAATAAAGGATATGAAGGATTATCAACTACAGCCAATAATTGGGACTTGAAGTAATTCAAAACTGTTAGAGGATGAATTTAGTAGAATTCGACAATGAACTTATGTTATGTTTGGGAGATTAGGAAATTTAAAATAACCTGCGACACTTCTAGATTTAAGGTAGTTAGATTGATATTGAAGTAATTCAAAGTAAACTATTATGAATGCATTTTACAATTTCATCTACTTTTTAAATATTTGCACCAGAAATGGAAAAGAGCGGCTTGGCCCAACCGTAATTTTAACATCCCTGGTGGCCTAGGTTTTGAGTCACAAAAACAACCTCTCCAGAAATGGGGGTAAGGATGTATATACATTTTGCCCTCTCCAGTCGTTTTAGAGGGAGCCTCATGCACTGGGTCACCCTCTTAACCAATCCACTTGATTGGGACACAAGACTTAATTTGGTTTGGTTTGGTTGCACTAGCAATCATATCAAGCGGGATCACTATTATCTCGACAAAACCTTCATTTGAGGTGTAAAGAATTCTTTGGTCAAGTAGCACCAGGCTTTCTCCATATTGGAATTGGCACTTGCAGGAATTTCATCTGCTGCATATGCTGATTTTCAGTTAGCAGGAGCCTATTTGATGTGTGATCGAGTGCGGATACACTTTTAGTGAACCCAACTTGGATGTATAGCAGCTGAAAAGTAGGTTTTTGGGTTGCTGGTTTTCATTGGGTTTTGTGGCTGAATGGCTAGTAAAAAATTAGGATTTTTTAAAGGATTTATATGGGGTAGCAAATGCCAAGGATATGAGAATAAAAATATGAGGTTTTAGGGACTTAATAGGCACTACGAGTGGTATCGGTGAACAACCATCTTGCTGGTTTTGTGATCTTTTGCAATCCAGGGTTGATTAATTGACGATGTGTGTTGAATAGGGGTTAATATACAGATATGGTTTTGTGGTCTTAGAGGCTAAAAATGCATAAAAATAAAGAGAATTAAAAAAACTAGGCATCACATCTAGGAACCGAATTAAAATTAAGACCAAGTCGAGTGTGTGACACTCTGTCCTTAAGACAGATTCGCCCCGCTACGGTGCTTACGGTTGAGTGGCGTCTATCTCCCAGGATACAATGATCTTCACAAATTGTAGTAGCACTCCAAACAATTTGTTCGGCGAACTAGAACTTGTGCTCTATACTTTCTTTGTTATTTTTCCTAAAACTAGAATGAAGGAAAATGCACTAAATAAAAGTTGGATAGCAATATAAAAAACACAGACTGAATTTCGGGATCAATCAAAATTGGAATGGGGCTGCCTTTATATAGGCTTTGTTGGCACCTATTCAATTTGAATAGAAAAGGTATGAAGAAGGGACATACCCCTTCCTTTAAAATAAAGAGACACCATGAAAGGTTTGCACCCTTTCATTCAAATGGAGTCTATTTCAATTCACAACTACCTCTTTATAAATTTTCCAACAGTGTTTTGAAATGAGGTATTTAGCAAAGAAAATGTGGGTTTGGTTTCGATTGGGTAGAGAAAGAGAGGATGAGAGAGAAGAGTGAGTAAGATATATAAAATGGTTATTGGCGACTAAAATTTTTTAGTCGCTGAAAGTATTTTATAAAATCCCTCCACAATAATTGAAATGTCTCCCTTCAAAAATTTTATTTCTTTAGCGACTAAAATTTTTTTTTGTCGCTAAAAATAAACTTTTGGCTACCAAAAGTTTAGTCGCCAAAGGTTAAAAAAAAATATATTTTTCATTCGGCTGCTAAATGGTTTTAGTAGCCAAAACTCAATATATAGCGACTAAATTTCTTTTTTGTCGCTGAAAATAGACTTTTGGCTATCAAATTTTTAGTCGCCAAAGGTAAAAAAAAAAAAAATTTATTTTTCATTCGGCTACTAATGGTTTTAGTAACTAAAACTTAATATATGGCGACTAAAATTATTTTTTGTCGCCAATTCTGGTATTTTTAGCGACTAATTTTTTTTTAGTCGCCAATAACCAATATACCCCGACTAAAAAAATTAGTAGCTAAATGTTTTACTTTTTCCGACTAAAAAAATTTTTTAGTCGTCAATTCTACAACTTTTGACGACTAAATTTTTTTTAGTCGCCAATTTGGTCGCCGAAGGTGCATTTTCTTATAGCGTAAGTAGTTACAAGATAATAGATGATGCACTTTAACATTGTGGGAAATATGTAAATAATGTGACAATATATTCCAAAATTACTTAATAAATTTTCAAAGAGATATTCAAATAGGTTCACGTTCTCACAACTTTTGACGACTAAATTTTTTTTAGTCGCCAATTTGGTCGCCGAATGTACATTTTCTTGTAGTGTAAGTAGTTACAAGATAATAGATAATGCACTTTAACATTGTGGGAAATATGTAAATAATGTGACAATATATTCCAAAATTACTTAATAAATTTTCAAAGAGATATTCAAATAGGTTCACGTTCTCAAACTACTTCATAGTTTTATTTCTCCACTCTATCACTAGAATTTTACATTGTTAGGAGAATGTTATTAATTTATTAAAGAGTAAAAATTAATAATTAAGTCTATAGTATTTAAATTTTTATCGTTTTCTTATATAGAATTCATAAAGCTACTAAACACTTCAATAACATTGACCAAAAAAATATATATATATCACTTATAATATAATTTCTATAAGTGATATTCTCATTCCTCTAAAAAGTCTAGCTTTACAGTTAATCTTCAATGTATCCATCATATTTTAATAAAATATATGCTAATAGCAAACTAAAGACTGCTGCCAGGCATTTTGTCATAAATTAAATAATCGATCACTCGAGCTATGCACAGAATAATTATATATATTTATATTTATTTAAAAAAAATTTAATATATAAATTATACTTTTAAAATTTTTTTATAAAAATAATTTAATAATTTTATCACTAATTATAGTGTACAGGAGAAATTAAAAAGACCACTGCAGTAATTATGCACGAGCTGTATCTATAATTATTTGTATGAGGAGATTTTAAATGTTAATCAGGAATTTTGACCAAATTAATAAATGCAGGTATGTGAATTGAAAAAAGTTAATAAATGCTGATCAGGAGATTTTGACCAAATCAATAAATGCTTAGTTTTTTTTTTTTTAAATCAAAAATTTAGAAAATTAAGATTGAGAGATTGAAGCTCCCACAAGGTTTGGGATTTAGAAACCCCATTTTTCTTAATATATTTACAATTATCTATATATGTGAAATACGATTTTTAAATGTTTTTTTTTTAAATGTCTTCTTTTTTTCCTTTTTTATATTATATTAAAGTTTAATATTTTGATAATAATTATATGTGTTGGACTTTTAAAAGAATTAAATGTCTTCTTTTTTTTATTATATTATATTAAAGTTTAATATTTTGATAATAATCATATGTGTTGGACTTTTTTAAAAAAAAATTTATGCTTGTTTTTAATGCATTAAAGTATTATTATGAGGGTAAGACTTGGGGGTTCGGACAAGTTAATAAATGCTAAGTTTTTTTTTTTTTAAATCAAAAAATCAGAAAATTTAGATTAGGGGATTGGAGCTCCCACAAGGCTTGAGGTTAAAAACCCCCTTTTACTTAATCTATACTACTAGCCTATCACCCGTGTTATGCACGGGATAATTATAGATATTTATATTTGTTTTAATTTTTTTAATATATAAATTATGTTTTTTAAGATTTTTTATAAAAATAATTTAACAATCTTATCACTAACCATAGTATACAGGAGAAATTAAAAAGGCTACTGCAGTAACTATGCACGAGCTGTATCTATAATTATTTGTATGGGGGTTTTAAATGCTAATCAGGGATTTTGACCAAATCAATAAATTCAGGCACGTGGATTGAAAAAAGTTAATAAATGCTGATTAAGGGATTTAAATAAAAAATTTAGAAAATTAAGATTGAGAGATTGGAGCCCTCACAAGGTTTAGGGTTTAGAAACCTCATTTTCCTTAATATATTTACAATTATCTATATATGTGAATTGTGATTTTAAATGTCTTCTTTTTTTTCATTTTTTATATTATATTAAAGTTTAATATTTTGATAATAATCATATGTGTTGGACTTTTTAAGGAATTAGATTTCTTCTCCTTTTTATTTTATTATATTAAAATTTAATATTTTGATAATAATCATATGTGTTGGACTTTTTAAGAAATTTTTTTTATGCTTGTTCTTAATGCATTAAAGTGTTATTATAAGGGATAATAATCATATGTGTTGGGACTTTTTAAGGAATTCATATGTATTGGATTTCAAAGAATTTTTTTTATACTTGTTCTTAATGCATTAAAGTGTTATTACGAGGGTAAGACTTGGGAGTTGGGAGAAGTTAATAAATGCTAAGGTTTTTTTTTTTAAATCAAAAAATCAAAAAATTTAGATTGGGAGATTGGAGTTCCCACAAAGCTTGGGGTTAAAAACTCCCTTTTACTTAATATATATATATAGTATAGACTAGTGTTTCATCTGTGCTATGCACGAGTTATATTTATATTTTGATAATAATGAGGGGATTTTGACCAAATCTCTCAAAAGGCATGTGGATTGACAAAGGTTAATAAATGTTGATGAGAGAATTTTGATCAAATCTCTCAAAAGACATGTGGATTGAAAAAAGTTAATAAATGCTAAGATTTTTTTTTAAATCAAAAATTTTAAAAATTAATATTGACATATTAGATCTCTCACAAAGTTTATAGGTTAGAAACTCCATTTTCCTTATATAATACTAGTCTATCACCCGTGCTATGCACGGGATAATTATAGATATTTATATTTGTTTTAATTTGTTTTAATATATAAATTATGTTTTTAAAGATTTTTTTATAAAAATAATTTAACAATCTTATCACTAATCATAGTGTACAGGAGAAATTAAAAAAGCTACTGCAGTAACTATGCACGGGCTGTATCTATAATTATTTGTATGAGAGAATTTTAAATGCTAATCAGAAATTTTGACCAAATCAATAAATGCAGGTATGAGGATTGGAAAAAGTTAAT